CACAAATTTAATGGACTGAACATATCATAATGGATGACAAACAGACAAATCAGAATAACAAAAACAGACAAAAAACCTTGTCAGATGTAATAAGTTTTTATTGGGCTCTTAGCACCATCAGCAATATTTAGAGCAATAACAACCCTACTATACAAAGAGAATCCTTCCAGGGTTGTTTTGATGCAGTTTAATAAATTCACTATTGCACACGAAGTAAAAATATTACAAAATATTGAAACAATATCAGTGGCAGTCAGGGTGGCACTGATTTTCTGTGTTGTGAATTAGGATGTACTGGCTGGAATCCTGTCTTTGATAGTGGTGGTTGATAACTGGTTGTTGGTGGTTGATGACTAGTTGTTGGTGGTTGATGACTAGTTGTTGGTGGCTGATGGCCTTCATGGGGAGGAATATTTCCTGAAATATTAAGAAAATATACTGAAATTTATAAAGGGTTTTATATAATACACAAATAAATATACATGTATAAGTAATTTAAAATGATACAGTCACTTTTAGTATTTTTTGCAAAATGATCTTCTATAGTGAGTTAAAAACACACAAGACATCCAAAAAAATGATTGATTATTATTATGAAAAAAAATTATGACGCAGAGTCAGCTGCAGTCCAAATGATTATCAAATAAATTTGATTAATATAATGATATTTACTATATAGCGACAGTGGAAAAAATAGTAAACTTTCACTGTTAAACTATCCATGAGGGTAACATTAAGCAAACCTGCTAAAAAAAATTCGTCCAAATTTATTATTTTTGTGTGGAAAAGTCCCGTGTATATAAAGACCTAATTACAGAAAGAACCTGAAACACTTTCCCAAATGTTGTATCATACTGTAGATTGTCAGGGTAAGCGCCCATGCCAAGGCATGTTTGTGTATGACTGATGGAAATAATTTTATGCAGTTTAACCCACTGACATTTTAGGTTATTTTGAGTTCATGCGTATTGGGTGTGTTTGTAGCAGGGAAATACTAATTCAAATTATTCCTCACTGACAATATTTATTATGTCTGGTATATTTGTCACATTATAAGCAATAAATTATGTTTGTTTTTATACTTCTAATGTTGCATATTGTTCATTTATTTCAGTGGCATGTTTTCATTTGCCATTTCATTTCCTGTTAATGTTCGATCTGCATGTTGTAAATTTTCGCATTTTTTTTTTTTTTGCAGGGGATATCCGGGCATACAATACCCAGCCCTATTTTTTGGCAATTTTCCATGTTCAGGAATCTGAGTGCTTACCCAGACAACTATGGTAATATTTACTTTGAACATTGTTTTCAAATCTGTGTTTCAATGCTAACATGTCACAGACTACACAAACTTCATACACATTTGACACTTCATGTGTCTCTAATTTGCATTACTATTATCCCCCAAGGCCATTTTATATTATTTTAGGAGATTCTAAATTTGTGTTCAGAATATTGGTCCTTGATAAGACAGTATAATGCTATGCCTACCTCCACACACTGGTACTGGACAAGACAGTATAATGCACTATATAACATGCCTACCTTCACACACTGGTACTGGACAAGACAGTATAATGCACTATATAAT